ACATTGATAAGCAAAAAAGAAACATTATAGTGCATTTTAAAAAAGACAGTGCATAATAACAATTTTAAAAAACAAAGAACTATGTCCTCTTGTTCGAATCCTCATCCGTTCCATCGACTTGGGCCGTTCCTGGGTCATTTTCCGATTCAAGTTTGTCTATCTATTCCGAGATTCCAAATGCTTGCTCAAAGAGCCAAGTTTTTACTCTTTTCCAAAAGGTCAGGAGGGAGGGGGCTAATCTAATATCCCTGGGCATCTTTAAAATAAGCCATTATTATTATTATTATTATTATTATTGACACAAAATCACAGTATGTCACAGCAAACGAGAGCTATATGCTGGATTTCGTATCACAAAATCACAAGTTGAACACTTCCCAAGCGTCTAGGACTATTATTATGATTATTATTTGGTATAGATTTGAACTCAAAACCAGGGTTCGAATCGGCCATTGAAACCCACTGGATGACCTTGGGAAAGTCACAGTCTCCCCAGCCTCAGAGAAAGGCCACTGCAAATTCCCTCTTAATAACTGCTGCTAATTAAACCTTTTAATAGGTTCGTCTTCTAGTCTCCATCAGTCGGAAAGGACATGATAGAGGGGTAAAAACATCCTTATTTTTACTGTTGTTGTTAGAATGTGTTAATACACCTGGCACCGAAAAATCTCAAGGTGTCTTACAATGAAACTCATTTTGTGGACTTGAAATATTATTATTATTATTATTATTAATAATAATAATAATAATAATATACTCAAGATATATCATTTCTTTGTTTTAAAAAGTTAAAATAAAAGAATGCCAGTCATACCTTTACCTTGTATTTTTTTTAGATAAAAACAATTACAGCCAAAGCTTTATTACCATAATTAAATAAAATACCATAGTAAACTATTACTAATTTTGATTATTATTGTTGTTGTTATTGAGGTTATATGGAACCCCCCGTGGCACAGTGTGTTAAACTCCTGTGCCAGCAGGACTGAAGCCTAACAGGTCGCAGGTTCGAATCCAGAGAGAGCGTGGATGAGCTCCCTCTGCCAGCTCCAGTTCCTCATGTGGGGACATGAGAGAAGCCTCCCACAAAGATGGTAAATCATCAAAACATCTGGGCGTCCCCTGGGCAATGTCCTTGCAGACGGCCAATTCTCTTCACCAGAAGCGACTTGCAGTATCTCAAGTCACTCCTAACATGACAAAAAATAAAATTGTGGTTATATGCACTGAACAAAAATAAACAGGCCAATGGAGACTCCACCTTAGACATCAGAAGAGCTGCAAGACCGAGAACAAGCCATGAGAATAAAGACAAAGATCCACCCAGAGGAAAAGTGTTCTTGCCAGACATCAAGGGAACCACTGACTGCAGAGGGAAGCTGATGAGGAAACACAACATACAAATTATCTACAGATACACCAAGAAAATCCAACAAATGCTACGTTCAGCAAAGGACAAGAGGGATCCTCTCACCTCTGCAGGAGTCTACCGTGTATCATGCAGCTGTGGACAAGTCTACAGAGGGACCACCAAACGCAGCAGCATTGCCCAAACACAAATCAAGGAACATGAAAAGCACTGCAGACTAATCCAACCAGAGAAGTCAGCCATAGCAGAGCACCTGATGAACCAACCTAGACACAGCAATTTATCTGAGAACACAGAAATGCTGGACCACTCTCACAACCACCATGTCAGACTACACAGAGAAACCACTGAAATACACAAGCATGTGGACAATTTCAACAGAAAGGAGGAAACCATGAAAATGAACAAAATCTGGCTACCAGTATTAAAAAACTCTAAAATTACAACAGCACAACAACAGAGAGGAAACAAACAAGGACATCTAATAACCTCTCAACAAAAGTTTGCTCCAGGCACTGTCAGGCCATTATATGCTAATCAAGGTGGTCAGTTGAAACATTCACACCTAGCTCCAGCAGACAAGAGTCCTTTGTCCCACCCTGGTCATTCCACAGATATATAAACCTTTTTCCTAGTTCCAACAGACCTCACTACCTCTGAGGATGCTTGCCATAGATGCAGGAGAAACATCAGGAGAAAATGCCTCTAGAACATGGCCATATAGCCCAAAAAAACCTACAACAACCCAGTGATTCTGGCCATGAAGGCCTCCGACAATACCAAAATAAACAATATAGCAGTATTGGTGTCTCAGATGAAAATGGAGATTTTAAAGAAAAGGATCTGAGGAATAAATCTTAAATTGGAGCCTATTTTAATCTCGTTTAATCTTGAAATTAATGGGTCTGAAAAATAATTGAATGGGTGGCTTTCCTTGCTGGCTTCAGCTTAGGGAATGAAAGCAGGAACAACTTCAAAATACTGCACTTCTGTAAAATACAATTTGGGATTTGTAAAAAGTGGAAACTTGAAAATCTGAGAAGAAAGGGGTTTGATGTATTGCCGAAGGCTTTCATGGCTGGAATTACTGGGTTGTTGTAGGTTTTTTCAGGCTGTATGGCCATGTCCTAGAGGCATTTTCTCCTGACGTTTCGCCTGCATCTATGGCAAGCATCCTCAGAGGTAGTGAGGTCTAGGTTCTTGTGGGTTTTTTCGGGCTATAGGGCCATGTTCTAGAGCCATTTCTCCTCTTGCCATAGATGCAGGCGAAACATCAGGAGAAATGCCTCTAGAACATGGCCCTATAGCCTGAAAAAACCCACAAGAATCTAGTGATTCCAGCCATGAAAGCCTTCGACAATGTAGTGAGGTCTGTTGGAACTAGGAAAAAGGGTTTATATATCTGGAATGACCAGGGTGGGACAAAGGACTATTGTCTGTTGGAGTTAGGTGTGAATGTTTCAACTGACCACCTTGATTAGCATTTCATTGCCTGGCAGTGTCTAGAGCAAACAGAAAGGGGGAAACCATGAAAAGGAACAAAATCTGGCTACTAGTATTTAAAAACTCTAAAATTAGAACAGCACAGCAACAGAGAGGAAACAAACAAGGACATCTAATCACCTCTCAACAAAAGATTTCTCCAGGCACTGCCAGGCAATCAAATGTCCCACCCTGGTCATTCCACAGAGATATAAACCCTTTTTCCTAGTTCCAACAGACCTCACTTCCTCTGAGGATGCTTGCCATAGATGTAGGCGAAACGTCAGGAGAAAATGCCTCTAGATCATGGCCATATAGCCCGAAAAAACCTACAACAACCCAAAGGGGTTTGAGTTGTTCCTTTTGGCCCTTGGAACACATTTGCAGGCTATAAAATAGGGCTGGGTAACCACGGAAAAAATTGTTTCTAAACTCGATTCGTTTTTAGGGGGTTTTTGCGTTTCGTTTTTTAAAAGAATTCCGAATTTTTTCTTTAAAAAAGTTCGAAATATATGAAATTTTGTAAATTACGAAACAATTACAAAACAATTACGAATCGATTCGTTAATGGCAGACGCGATTGCGCAATATGCAAAAAGAACCCCTCCAAATGGGACAGGGGGAACTTCTGAAGCTTCCCTCTCCCTCTGTTGTTGACTGTTGGTGTGATAATTTATTTTTTATCACTGATAAAACAAACAACAACCCTAAAACTTGCACCAGACATACGGAAACAATTACGAAACAATTTCGAAACAAATTACGAAACAATTACGAAACAATTACAAAATAAATTGAAAAATTTGTTTCAATTTTTAATTGCTCCTGCATGGCTCAATATCGGATCGTAAGCTAATTTAAATACGAATTAATAACGAATTACGAAATTAACGAACGAAACCGCCCAGCCCTAATATAAAACCAAACCATGTTCAGAGAAAACATATCACCATGGCTAATACATAGCAAGGCAACAGTAATAAAAGCCATGATCGCTCGAATAAAGGAGCATCACTTGGGAGAAAATTAATTTTTCTTTTTTTTGTTTTGTTTGGAAAGTTTATAAAAGTCAGGTTGCATTGGCCGGGAATCGAACCCGGGCCTCCCGCGTGGCAGGCGAGAATTCTACCACTGAACCACCAATGCATCTGTTGGAAAAAGCTGAAGATAGAAATCTTTTTAGGGAGTAAAATGTATAATTATTATAATTATAACTCTGGCTAGCTATGGGTGTTTATCAAAATGTATAAAAACTTTGTGAAGCAGCATTTCCTTATCTGGAGCATTGGTGGTTCAGTGGTAGAATTCTCGCCTGCCACGCGGGAGGCCCGGGTTCGATTCCCGGCCAATGCAACTTAAATTTTTTTCATAACATTTCTTATTTTTCTTTTATTTCCTCCCATAATAAATTTGTAGGTTATCCTGATTCTGCAACAAGCCAGGCTTTCTTTTTTGCAAGACAATTTTTCTGAATTGCATCACTGTCTCCCAGATTAAAAGTCTTTTTCTTGAAATATCCCCTTTTCCTCTTGGATTATATTTTTTTCTGTCAAATAGCCTTCAACTGCTTTGTTTCTGAGCTTGGAGAAAAGTCCTCACTTTTTTAAAAAAAACCTTTCCTTTTTGACTACAACTCCCAGCATCCCCAGGGATTTCCAATCCAAAAATAATAATTTGGGATTGTGGCTTCTGACTGTTGCAACCTGGAAAAGTAACTTTCCCACTCTAAAGAGAAAGAATCTGACATAATGAGATATGAAAATTCGCATTCTCTAAGCCAAAGTGTAATTATAAGTCTTGAAAAATCCCTTTTAAACTTCCTATCAGGGAATGAATGGCAAGGAAATTGGCTTCACTTTCACCATTGCGCATGCTCGATATTACTTCCGGCTTTGGGAGATGCCGCTTGCGCATGCCCAGTGTGCTGCAGCCGTTCTTCTGCGATGTCGGCATGCAGTGAAAGGGCAGTTGCTGGAGCTTCACTTTCGCCACTGCGCATGCTCTGCAATACTTCCGGGTTTGTGTACCGACTACGCATGCCCAGTGTGCTGCAGCTGTTCCTCGTTGATGGAGGCATGCAGTGAAAAGGCAGTTGTTGGAGCTTCACTGTCATCATTGCGCATGCTCGATATTATTGCCAGCTTTGGGTGTCGACTGCGCATGCGCAGTGGGCAGCAGCGGTTCTTTAGCGATGGCGGCAATGGAGGCGAGCAAGATGGCGTCTCCTAAGAGCGCTCCTAAAGATGCTCAGGTAAGACTGGAAGAAAGATGATACTGAGCGATGACGGTTGTCTGGCCCGTTTGGCTTTTCGTAGTCGCTTCCTAGGGAACATATTTGGCTACCTGTATTAAAAAAAAACTCTAAAATTAGAACAGCACAACAACAGAGAGGACATCTAATCACCTCTCAACAAAAGATTGCTCCAGGCACTGCCAGGCCATTCTATGCTAATCAAGGTGGTCAGTTGAAACATTCACCCCTAGCTCCAACAGACAAGAGTCCTTTGTCCCACCCTGGTCATTCCACAGATATATAAACCCTTTTTCCTAGTTCCAACAGACCTCACTACCTCTGAGGATGCTTGCCATAGATGCAGGCGAAACGTCAGGAGATAATGCCTCTAGACCATGGCCATATAGCCCGAAAAAACCTACAACAACCCAGTGATTCCGGCCATGAAAGCCTTCGACAAAGCAAAACGACTCACCCTGGTCATTCCACAGATATATAAACCATTTTTCCTAGTTCCAACAGACCTCACTATCTCTGAGGATGCTTGCCATAGATGCAGGCGAAATGTCAGGAGAGAATGCCTCTAGACCATGGGCATATAGCCCGAAAAAACCTACAGCAACCCAGTTTTTTTCCCTTACCGTTTTAGGGCCTTCCTTTTTGGCAGGGCTCAGTGGAATAGAGAGATGCTTTTTTTCCAAGCTTATTTTCCTGCCTGTTCAGCAGTGGAACTCTCTGCCCCAGAGTGTGGTGGAGGCTCCTCCTTTGGAGGCTTTTAAGCAGAGGCTGGATGGCCATCTGTCAGGGGGTGCTCTGAATGCATTTTCCTGCTTTTAGGGAGAATGGGGTTGGACTGGATGGAGGTCTCTTCCAACTCTATGATTGTGTTATGAATAACTTTCCCACATTGGAAGAGAATAATAATAATACTTTAATGTATTGTCTAATCACATCGCAGCAAAAGATTGCTCCAGGCACTACCAGGCAATCAAATACTAATAAAGGTGGTCAGTTGAAACATTCACACCTAGCTCCAGCAGACAAGAGTCCTTTGTCCCACCCTGGTCTTTCCACAGATATATAAACCCATTTTCCTAGTTCCAACAGACCTCACTACCTCTAATGGAGCCCCCGGTGGCGCAGTGGGTTAAAGCACTGTGACGGCAGGATTGAAGACCGACAGGTCGCAGGTTCAAATCCGGGGAGAGGCGGATGAGCTCCCTTATTAGCTCCAGCTCCTCATGCGGGACATGAGAGAAGCCTCCCACAAGGATGATAAAACATCAGAAATCATCCAGGCGTCCCCTGGGCAACGTCCTTGCAGACGGCCAATTCTCTCACAACAGGAGCGGTTGCTCCTGACACGACAACAAAACTACCTCTAATCACATCTCAACAAAAGATTGCTCCAGGCACTGCCAGGCAATCAAATGCTAATCAAGGTGGTCAGTTGAAACATTCACACCTAGCTCCAGCAGACAAGAGTCCATTGTCCCACCCTGGTCATTCCACAGATATATAAACCCATTTTCCTAGTTCCAACAGACCTCACTACCTCTGAGGATGCTTGCCATAGATGCAGGCGAAACGTCAGGAGAAAATGCCTCTAGAACATGGCCATATAGCCCGAAAAAACCTACAACAACCCACTGTTTATTTATTCCACATACAGTTTTAGGGCCTTCCTTTTTGGCAGGGCTCATTGGAATGGAGAGATTTTTTCCCAAGCTTATTTTCCTGCAGTTCAGCAGTGGAACTCTCTGCCGAGTGTGGTGGAGGCTCCTTCTTTGGAGGCTTTTAAGCAGAAGCTGGATGGCCATCTGTTGGGCGTGCTCTGAATGCCATTTTCCTGCTTTTTGGCAGAATAGGGTTGGACTGGATGGCCATCTGTTGGGCGTGCTCTGAATGCCATTTTCCTGCTTTTTGGCAGAATAGGGTTGGACTGGATGGCCCATGAGATCTTTTCCAATTCTATGATTCTGTTATGAATAACTTTCCCACGTTGGAAGAGAATAATAATAATAATAATAATGAAGGAAGGAAGACTGCCTTTTCTAGATGTCCTAGTTATCCGCAAACCAGATCAACAATTGGGTCACACCGTCTACAGAAAACCCACACACACAGATAGATATCTACATAAAAACTCCAACCATCACCCCAAGTCAAAAAAGAAGCACCATTAAAGCCTTGGCAGACCGTGCAAAAAGAATCTGCGAACCCCACCTCCTCCAAGATGAACTGAACCACCTCAACTGGGCTCTCCAGGCCAATGGAGACTCCACCTCAGACATCAGAAGAGCTGCAAGACCAAGAACAAGCCACGAGAATAAAGACGAAGATCCACCCTGAGGAAAAGGGTTCCTGCCATACATCAAGGGAACCACTGATCGCATAGGGAAGCTGATGAGGAAACACAACATACAAACTATCTACAGACCCACCAAGAAAATCCAACAAATGCTACGTTCAGCAAAGGACAAGAGGGATCCTCTCACCTCTGCAGGAGTCTACCGTATACCATGCAGCTGTGGACAAGTCTACATAGGGACCACCAAACGCAGCATTGCCCAAACACGAATCAAGGAACATGAAAGGCACTGCAGACTACTTCAACCAGAGAAATCAGCCATAGCAGAGCACCTGATGAACCAACCTGAGAACACAGAAATGCTGGACCACTCTCACAACCACCATGTCAGACTACACAGAGAAGCCATTGAAATCCACAAGCATGTGGACAATTTCAACAGAAAGGAAGAAACCATGAAAATGAACAAAATCTGGCTACCAGTATTAAAAAACTCTAAAATTACAACAGCACAACAACAGAGAGGAAACAAACAAGGACATCTAATCACCTCTCAACAAAAGTTTGCTCCAGGCACTGTCAGGCCATTATATGCTAATCAAGGTGGTCAGTTGAAACATTCACACCTAGCTCCAGCAGACAAGAGTCCTTTGTCTCACCCTGGTCATTCCACAGATATATAAACCCTTTTTCCTAGTTCCAACAGACCTCACTACCTCTGAGGATGATTGCCATAGATGCAGGTGAAACGTCAGGAGAGAATGCCTCTAGACCATGGCCATATAGCCCGAAAAAACCTACAACAACCTAGTGATTCCGGCCATGAAAGCCTTCGACAATACAGTACATTGAATACTTTATTTATATACCGCCCTATCTCCCCTAGGGGACTCAGAGCAGTTTCAACATATGCAAAATAATACAAAAGCATACAATATAAAACAAAAACATAGGCATAAACCTGCCTGCCACCTCAGAAGGAGAAGGAGGAAATCCTGCTGCTTCTCCCCCCCCCCCCCGTGCCAGCTAAGAGGAGAAAGGGGACTGAGGAAGAGTCTTTAAAAACACCTGTCTCCTGGCTGTTGCTTACTACATCTGCCTGCCACCTCAGGAGGAGAAGGAGGAAATCCTGTTTATTCCACAGATATATAAACCCCTTTTCCAACCTCCAACTTCTGCCAACCTAGCAGTTCGAAAACATGCAAATGTTAGTAGATCAATAGGTACCGCTTTGGCGGGAAGGTAACAGCGCTCAATAATAATAATAATAATAAGATATAATAATATAAATTCTTGGATCTGAAAACTCCAAAATAATATAAATTCTTGGATCTGAAAACTCCAAAATGGTCCCCATAGGTATCTGTAATAGTGCTACCTTTGTTTTCTGATGGTTCACTGCACACAAACTTTGTTCCATTTGCAAAATAGTTTTCACCATAATTGATATTGTATGTTGTAGCCATACAAACATTTTCCTCCTTGGAATGAACAGGTGATGGCCCAGATCCTGAAAGATATGGGGATTACGGAGTATGAGCCACGGGTTATAAACCAGATGCTGGAGTTTGCATACAGTAAGTTAACACACATTATCTTTTTTCCCCTAATTTTTGTATTTGTCTGTCTCTCGTTTTCTCTCTCAAACTCCCCATTGAAGGTTTGAATGCATAATGGCAAATATAATTACAACTATCTCTTAAAAGGGAGGAATATTTGGAAACTGAGGATGACTCCTTTTTAGTCCTCTCTCTTAATTATGGCCTAATAGGTGCTGTATGTTTTAATATATGATGTGTTGAATGTGGTTTATTTATTTTATTTATTTATTTGTCGTGTCAGGGCAACCAGTCAATTATATTACATTTCTAACAGAACAAAGCAAACAAACAGACAAAATACAAAATTTGTGAGTTTGGTAGTTGATTAAATGTCCTTTGACCAGTATCTGGCCACTTGGAGTGCCTCTGGTGTTGCTGCCAGAAGGTCCTCCCTTGTGCATGTGGCAGGGCTCAGGTTGCATTGCAGCAGGTGGTCAGTGGTTTGCTCTTCTCCACACTCGCATGTCGAGGATTCCACTTTGTGGCCCCATTTCTGAAGGTTGGCTCTGCATCTCGTGGTGCCAGAGCGCAGTCTGTTCAGCGCCTTCCAAGTCGCCCAGTCTTCTGTGTGCCCAGGGGGGAGTCTCTCATTTGGTATCAGCCATTGGTTGAGGTTCTGGGTTTGAGCCTGCCACTTTTGGACTCTCGCTTGCTGAGGTGTTCCAGCGAGTGTCTCTGTAGATCTTAGAAAACTATGTCTAGATTTAAGTCGTTGGCGTGCTGGCTGATACCCAAACAGGGGATGAGCTGGAGATGTCTCTGCCTTGGTCCTTTCACTATTGGCTGCTACTTCCCGGCGGATGTCAGGTGGTGCAATACCGGCTAAGCAGTGTAATTTCTCCAGTGGTGTAGGGCGCAGACATCCCGTGATAATGCGGCATGTCTCATTAAGAGCCACATCCACTGTTTTAGTGTGGTGAGATGTGTTCCACACTGGGTTGAATGTGGTATAAACGGTTTATAATGCATGTTTTAACTGGATTGGCTGTTTAATGCTATATTACATTTTGGCCCAATAATTTGTAGACTCATATAGAGTTGAAAGGGAACTGTTAAGAGCCATTCCAGTCCAACCCCGTTCTGCTTAACAGGAACACACCTTCAGAGCCTGCTTGACAGATGGCCATAGAGCCTAGAGAAAAAGGCTCCGCTGGACTCCCAGGCAGCATATTCTACTGTCCAACAGTCTCACCATCAGGAAGTTATTCCTAAATTTAGATTGAATCTATTTTCCTCCAGTTTGAATCCATTGCTCTATGTCCCAGTCTGGGGCAGCAGAAATTGGAGGTTGCTTACCTGTAACCGTAGTTTCCCTAGTGGTCCGCTGTGAATTCACACTAGCTTGCTTTATCTTTAATAGGATTTCCTTTCAAATATTTCAACATTGCTATCGTGTTCAATCTTTACCTTCCCTTTTCCAAGTTAAATATATCCAGCTTCTTAAACCACTCCTCTGAGCGATTCATAGTTTCCAAACCGTTGACTATTTTGGTTACCCGCCTCCGGGCATGTTCTAGCTGGTCATACCCTTCTTGAATGGCTTGAGCCAGAACTGGACAGCGGCTTATTCCAGGTGAGGTCTGACCAAAGCAGAATAGAGTGGGACCGTGACTTCTCTCAATCTCAACACTAAACTCCTATGGATGCAGCCTAGAATTGCACTGAAATAAACAAACAAAAACATTAAATAGGGAAGAGAAAGGAAAGCTTAGAGAAGACAATTATGCTGGGGAAAATGCAAGGAAAAAGGAAGAGGGGCTGACCAAGGTCAAGATGGATGGATGAAGTGACTGGCTTGACCTTGAAGGAGCTGGGGGTGGTGACGGCCGACAGGGAGCTCTGGCATGGACTGGTCCATGAAGTCACAAAGAGTTGGAAAAGACTGAACGAATGAACAACAACAACAACAACAAAGGGAAGAATATGAGGATCAAAATTCCCCCTTCCATGCTGTTACCCATCTACCCTTATAGCTAAGCTGTGCACCTCATACACCTAAAACCTTGTCAAATGAATCCTTTTATGGAGATCAACATACTCACCCTATTAATTTATTTTGCATTTTGTTTCCTCAAAGGGTACGTGACAACCATCTTAGAAGATGCCAAGATTTATTCAAGTCATGCCAAGAAGTCCAGTGTGGATGCAGATGATGTCCGGTTGGCCATCCAGTGCAGGACAGACCAGTCCTTCACCTCTCCTCCTCCACGAGATGTACGTTTAGACCTTTCTGAACAATATTATTTTCTTGAACTTGGAAACACTCTTTTTTTCCTCTACCCTGAAGGGGACTCAAGGTGGCTTACAGATAAGCAATAATTCAATGCCTTAACAACAATGTACAATTAATAATAATAATAATAATAATAATAATAATAATAATAATAATTACTTTATTTTTATACCCCGCCATCGTCTCCCCAAGGGTACTCAAGGCGTTTTACATGGGGACAAGCCCAAAATCACAGATAAAAATAAACAGCATTAAAATAAATCAAATAAAAACATATTGCAGTGAAAGCAACAACAGTAGCATAAAACATCATAAAAACAATATAATGGCTGAAACAGAAGCAGAGCTAAGTGCAGTGAATTCCTAGGCAGTGAATTAAAATAAACATTTGAATTAATAATTAAGATCGAGATTAAAATACATTAAAACATTTTAAAAACATTACAATCACTATAAAACCATGCTATCCTCAATCATAATCCAAGTCATTCCTGTAGTCATTGCACATAATTCCAGTCCATCTATTGCACTACGGTTCTTCTCTGAAGGCTTGATCCCAGAGCTACATTTTCACATTCTTTCTGAAGGTCAGGAGGGAGGGGGCTGATCTATAGATGCTTGTGAACAGAAAAGGTCTTGCTCTAAGGAGTTTAACAATCTCAATCTCTTTTTATTTACTGTAGATGCTCAAGTATAAACCAAGTTTTTCAGGCCTTTTTAAAGGCTGAAAAAGCCCCCCTCAGCTTATGCTCGAGTCAAGGTTACTTATTGTTTTACTCTGTTGTTATTATTATTACATTTATTATTTTACTCTATTTATTATTATTATTATTATTATTATTATTATTATTACATTTACATGATTGTACTCTATTATTATTTATAATACATTTATTATTGTACTCTTTATTATATTGCTACATTTAATATTTTACTCTATTACTGTATTACATTTCCATTATTTTACTCTATTATTATTTTTAATTACATTTATTATTATATTCTGTTGGAAGGATACATAAAGACATTTACACTGAAGGATAGAATAATGGTTTAATCAGATTCGGGCAGTCTTATCTTAAATTACAGTTTTATGTAAATATTCGAAAACGTTTAACCCGCTGATAGTGGCATAGTGGGTTAAACCCCTGTGCCGGCAGGACTGAAGACCGACAGATTGCAGGTTCAAATCCGGGGAGAGGCGGATGAGCTCCCTCTATCAGCTCCAGCTCCTTATGCGGGGACATGAGAGAAGCCTCCCACAAGGATGGTAAAAACATCAAAACATCTGGGCGTCCCCTGGGCAACATCCTTGCAGACGGCCAATTCTCTAACACCAGAGGCGACTTGCAGTTTCTCAAGTCACGTCTGACACGACAAAAAAAAAGTAATTTTAATGCTATCTATTTTTATTTTGAAATTGACTAGTAGCTGCTGCATTTTCCACCCTCAACTTATACTCAAGTCAATAAATTTTCCCAGTTTTTTGAGGTAAAATTAGCTGCCTTGGCTTATATTCGGGTTGGCTTGTATCCGTGTATATATGGTAGGTTTGGAGGGGGAGGGATGTGATTAAATAAATGCAGTAGATCAGGAAAGACATAGAATTTGTGTTAGTGTTCAGGCTTATTGTTGGGTAGGGATTTGGAAGAAAGTGTTGCTAATTTGTCACTTCTCTTTTTCTTTTTCCTCTTTTTCGGGGAAAACAGTTTTTGCTGGATATCGCAAGACAGAAAAACCAGACGCCTTTGCCACTGATTAAACCATACTCTGGGCCAAGGTTGCCCCCAGACCGATACTGCCTGACAGCACCAAATTACAGGCTGAGGTCCTTACAGAAAAAGGTAAGAATTCTGTCCAGAAGGTACTCTTTAATCAAAGGAATTGTCGGGTTAATTTGCCCATAGTCTACAGCCCTCCAACTGTTAGGAAGTGTGCAAGTTAAAATCCAAAACACTTGGAGGGCCAAATTTTGCCCATGCCTGATCTGTATTGTGTTGTACAAGTCAATGAGAATGATAATGGCAATAACGGTGATACTGCTGATACTGTTGGAATTCAACCCCACACTGCCCAAGTCTCAAATCCTCAATGAGGAACAGTTCAGTTAGCTTAGTATAGACTTAAGGGTTTCCTTCCCCTCATGTCTCCTGAATGAGTTTTTCTTCTCTCATTTTGACTGGTTGTTTAAAATTGATACTTTTTTCCTGCAGGTTTTTTGAATCTGACTTCTGTTTCTTACACTTTAGTATGGAGAGTATGCGCTGTGTGCTTTGAGATCTCTCTCTGAATGTGTGCCAGGGAGATGTAGTGCTTGGATGATTTTCCCCTCCCTTTGAAACCTTAGAAGAGATGGGTGTTAGAGTAGCTCAGACCCAGTTCTTTACTATGGAGAAATGTAGGTAGTTCTTTATTATTGTAAACTAGCTGTCCCCTGCCACGCGTTGCTGTGGCCCAGTCTGGTGATCTGGAAAATAAAGTAATGAGAAAGTGTTGGTTTCTAATATATGTAATTCCTTTATGTTTGTGAGTAAACAGTATTTCTTGTTGTTTCTTTGTCAGTGTTGATGTGGAGAGTGTCTGGTTTGCCTACTCTGGAATATGCAACATATCATAGTCCTTCTTTAAGGGTCTTTTTCAAATCTATGATACTATATCTCTGTGTGTATCTATGGCTGGATGGCTCTTTGTCAGGAGGGCTTTGATTACCTTTTCTTGCCCTGGTGAAGGGAGTTGGACTGGATGGCCTTAAGTATTTTCTGTTGGTCATGGGGGTTCTGTGTGGGAAGTTTGCCCCATTCTGTCGTTCGTGGGGTTCAGAATGCTCTTTGATTGTAGGTGAACTATAAATCCCAGTAACTACAAATCCCAAATATCAAGGTCTATTTCCTCCAAACTCCATCTGTGTTCATATTTGGGCATATGGAATTTTTGGGTCAAGTTTGGTCCAGATCCATCATTGTTTGAGTCCACAGTGCTCTCTGGATGTAGGTGAACTACAACTCCCAAACTCAAGGTCAATGCCCACCAAACCCTTCCAGTGTGTTCTGTTGGTCATGGAAGTCCTGTATGCCATGTTTGGTTCAATTCCATCATTGGTGGAGTTCGGAATGCTCTTTGATTGTAGGTGAACTATAAATCCCAGCAACTACAACTCCCAAATGTCAAGGTCTATTTCCCTTAAACTCCATCTGTGTTCATATTTGGGCATATGGAATATTCGTGCCAAGTTTGGTCCAGATCCATCATTGTTTGAGTCCACAGTGCTCTCTGGATGTGGGTGAACTATAATTCCCAAACTCAAGGTCATTGTCCACCAAACCTTTCCAGTTTTTTCTGTTGGTCATGGGAGCCCTGTGTGCTAAGTTTGGCCCAATTCCATCATTGATTGTATGTAAACTATAAATCCCAGCAACAACAATTCCCAAATGACAAAGTTAATTTTTTTCAGTGGAGGACATAAATTGGACTGTTAAGTGTCTTGTGTCCAAATTTGGTGTCAATTCCCCCAGTGGTTTTTGAGTTCTGATGGTAGCACAAACTAACATTACATTTTTATTTATATAGATAAACCCTTTTGTGATTTTCGGCTGCATGTTTGCCTCCTAAGCTCTGAATTCTTTAGAGGCGCAACCAATGGCACTTCACACTCTGCTTGCTAATAGGCTGGATGCTCAACTTCTGTATCCTGCTTGATTTTTGGAGACTGCTTTCTCTAACAATACTATTACTACTACTAAAAAGGATGGTATAAATAATATTAATTGGATATATTTTTGGAACATTGTTTTCCCCCGGTGACGTAGTGGGTGGAGCAGCAGAACAAACTGAACTGCTGAACTTCCTGGCCAAAAGGTTGGCGGTTCAAATTCGGGGAATGGAGTAAGCACTGTTAGCCCCAGCTTCTGCCAACCTAGCAGTTTGAAAATGTAGAAATGTCAGTAGATCAATAGGTACTGCTCCAGTGGGAAGGTAACAGCGCTCCATTCAGTCATGCCGGCCACATAACCTTGGAGATGTCTATGGACAATGCCGGCTCTTCGGCCTAGAAATGGAGATTTATTTATTTATTTAAAAGATTTATATTCCACCCTTCTCACCCTGCAGGGGATTCAGGGCGGAGCACAACATATGTATGGAAAACGTTCAATGCCAGGACGTAAAACCAGAAATATATATCAACATTAAAATCACTTATATACCCTTTAAAATCAGTTGCTTAAAAACCATCTCAGGACACCATTCTATTATTGCCTCATTGCATTGCTCCAAGGCTGGTCCCACAGCCAAGTCGTCACCATCCTTTTGAAGGACCGAAGGAAAGGGGCTGATCTCATAATGCCAGGAAGGGAGTTCCATAACTGGGGGGCAATCATTGAGAAGGCCCTGTCTCTCATCCCCACCAAACGCACCTGTGATGGTGGCGGACCGAGAGCAGGGCCTCCCCAGGAGATCTTAGTCTTCGCAGTGGCTCATAAAGATGAGCCCTAACCCCCCAGAGTCAGACATGACTAGACTTAATGTCAAGGGAAAACCTTTACCTTTACCTCTATCTCCCCAGGTCTCTTCCTCTGCTGGAAGGATAACTGTGCCACGACTCAGTGTTGGAGCTGTGACCAGCCGTCCCAGTACACCCACTTTAGGTAAGTTAACACAGTTATATTTGCTCCAGTTATATTTGGGTTTGTGCCTGAGATGTCCCTTAGTAATGGCAGCCACTCCTAGAGCTTCCCACATGAGGTTGGATAGGGGATTCTGGGACTTGTAGTCCGGCAGTTTCCCCCAGGTTGATGCAAAGAGTGCCATGTTTACCATCCTTTTTATCAGAAATCAGTCCTGGTAAAAAGTGCTTGTGCATTCCTTCCTACCCCTTCGCTTTGCTCCTTGGGATTTCAATATAATTTTTCAACAATAATGATGTGCATTTCAGGAACGCCTTCAGCGCAGGCCATGTCGGTTTCGGCAAAAGTCGGGACACCCGTCTCCCTGACAGGCCAGAGGTTCACCGTGCAGATCCCCACGTCTCAAACGTCAGTAAAATCAGGTAAGTATAAGTCAAAACTGCAAGTCTTCTATCCGCTGAGTAATTTTGAAAAGGAAAAAGCATTTCAAAAATCTCATTTGGCAACAACAGGAGCAGTTTTAGCAGATCGTAAGCTACTTGAGCACCGGAGTAGAGCTTCAGCAGTTATCTGAGCAGGAATGGGTCAACTTGGTTCTGGAACATGGCTACACAGCCTGGAAAACTCACAGCAATCCAGTGATTCCGGCCATGAAAGCCTTCAACAACACATGGAAACAGAACTGTCTTAAGGTGCATTTACACCAGGCATGGGCCAACTTGGAGCCTTCAGATGTTTTGGACTCCAACTCCCACAATTCCTAACAGCCTCAGGCCCTTTCCTTTTCCCCCTCAGCCGCTTAAGCGGATGAGGGGAAAAAGGAAGGGGCCCAAGGCAGTTAGGAATTGTGGGAGTTGGAGTCCAAAACATTGGACCTGAGGAAGGGAGGCTGTTAGGAATTGTGGGAGTTGGAGTCCAAAACATTGGACCTGAGGAAGGGAGGCTGTTAGGAATCGTGGGAGTTGGAGTCCAAAACATTGGACCTGAGGAAGGGGGGCTGTTAGGAATTGTGGAAGTTGGAGTCCAAAACATTGGACCTGAGGAAGGGGCCTGAGTCTGCTGGGCGTTGTGGGAGTTGGATTCCAAAACATTGGACCTGAGGAAGGGGCCTGAGTCTGCTGGGCGTTGTGGGAGTTGGATTCCAAAACATTGGACCTGAGGAAGGGGCCCAAGGCAGTTAGGAATTGTGGGAGTTGGAGTCCAAAACATTGGACCTGAGGAAGGGAGGCTGTTAGGAATTGTGGGAGTTGGAGTCCAAAACATTGGACCTGAGGAAGGGGCCTGAGTCTGTTGGGCATTGGATTCCAAAACATTGGACCTGAGGAAGGGGCCCAAGGCTGTTAGGAGTTGTGGGAGTTGGAGTCCAAAACATTGGACCTAAGGAAGGGAGGCTGTTAGGAATTGTGGGAGTTGGAGTCCAAAACATTGGACCTGAGGAAGGAAGGTTGTTAGGAATTGTGGGAGTTGGAGTCCAAAACATTGGACCTGAGGAAGGAGCCTGAGTCTGCTGGGCGTTGTGGGAGTTGGATTCCAAAACATTGGACCTGAGGAAGGGGCCCAAGGCAGTTAGGAATTGTGGGAGTTGGAGTCCAAAACATTGGACCTGAGGAAGGGAGGCTGTTAGGAATTGTGGGAGTTGGAGTCCAAAACATTGGACCTGAGGAAGGGAGGCTGTTAGGAATTGTGGGAGTTGGAGTCCAAAACATTGGACCTGAGGAAGGGGGGCTGTTAGGAATTGTGGGAGTTGGAGTCCAAAACATTGGACCTGAGGAAGGGGCCTGAATCTGTTAGGCGTTGTGGGAGTTGGATTCCAAAACATTGGACCTGAGGAAGGGCCCCGAGGCTGTTAGGAATTATGGGAGTTGGAGTCCGAAACCCCTGGAGGGCCCAAATTGGCCAATGCCTGGAAAAGAGAAACTAAGAGGCCAATCAAGAAGGACGTTTCCATGCCAACGAACTCATCTGCCTTATCTATTTCCTTGATGAGGACTATAAACTTGTGCAGGATGCGGATGAGTGCCAACACTTTATCTTCCCAAAATCAGAACCGCCATTGATTTCTAGGAAGATTAATTATACGAAATCTTTTCACCTCCAGCAACGCCCACCACTCCGACGGTTCAGAACGTGCTGATCAACCCATCCCTGATCGGATCCAAGAACATCCTCATCACCACCAACATGGTCTCGTCGCAGGGTGTGCCTGGCGAGTCGAACGCGTTGAAAAGGAAACACGAGGATGAGGACGATTATGACAACTTGTGAGGGGAACACCGAGACGGTTAGGTGTCCCTCAGGCCAGATTTCATTTCATTTTTTGCTTTGGACTTCGTATGTAAGAAGCCTTTTTGCTGGCCAGGGGCCACTCTTTTTAAGGCCATGTTGGCATTTGGGAGTTACAAGAGGCCTCCGTTTACTGGGGAATCTTACCCATCATTGGAAGGAAGGAAATAATCTGAACAGAACTCAGCTCTGAAAGCTCTGGACCAGAAGCGAATAGTTGAAGCTGCCCTCAAAGGCAAATTTGGTAGTTAAAGAGGCCTTTGGGAGTTAAAGTTTGAAAGGACGGGTTTGAAGGCCTCTCTTTCTTGCAAGCTTCCTGTTTTGAGGCCTAAAGAAACTGAACCTAAATCCTGCTTTTCATGGTTCTAGGTCGGAACCCTATGAAACTACTGGATGGGGAGGAGTGTTTGTATTTGCCTTTGGTGGGATTATAAATTGTGTTTTTGCTTATATATGTCTTAAGTGGTTTTATTTCCTGAGTTTTCAGTATTTATTCTCTTTATTAAAGTAAGTTTATGAAATAGGCTTGCCCAGTCCTGTTGTGATGACAAGTTGGCCTACCTATTCTTGCTTTTCCCCTAAATGTTTACATCATGGGAAGAAGAGATTAAATACAGGGTGAGGCAGCATAACTTCCTTTTTTCAAAAAACTGATTTCTGGCTTTTGTCATGACTCAAGGGTCTGGAGAACAAGCCCTATGAGGAGCGGCTTAAGGAGCTGGGCATGTTTAGCCTGAAGAAGAGAAGGATGAGAGGAGATATGATAGCCATGTATAAATATGTGAGAGGAAGCCACAGGGAGGAGGGAGCAATCTTGTTTTCTGCTTCCTTGGAGACTAGGACGCGGAACAATGGCTTCAAACTACAAGAGAGGAGATTCCATCTGAACATGAGGAAGAACTTCCTGACTGTGAGAGCTGTTCAGCAGTGGAACTCTCTGCCCCGGAGTGTGGTGGAGGCTCTTCTTTGGAAGCTTTTAAACAGGGGCTGGATGGCCATCTGTCAGGGGTGATTTGAATGCAATATTCCTGCTTCTTGGCAGAATGGGGTTGGACTGGATGGCCCATGAGGTCTCTTCCAACTCTTTGATTCTATGATTCTTGCCAGCATAGCAGGCATTACGTTGGCAATTTCTTCCTGGATGTTGGTCTTCAAATCTTGTAGGGTCCTTGGACGGTTCACGTAAACACGGGATTTCAAAAAACCCCATAGAAAAAAATCACAAGCAGGCTGGCCACTCCAAATCCGCTCAAAAAGTAGGCCTCAATGGCAAAAGCACGCTCCTCGCTGTTCCAACGCATGGCAACTGAGCTGTGTCAGGACAAAACTTTATAATCTCCGCCTCTCGAACGAGACCACTAGCGCTCTTGTTATGAACCCAAAGAGGTTCCTGTTCTTTTGTGCAGAGTGTACAAGGAATAGTAAGGTAGTTCAGACCAATGAGACACTTTAGAGACCAAATTTGGTATTCATGTAACATTTATTGAAATACAATCATCACAGAATCATATCAGAATCACATCAAGGAGAGCTCTCGTGCACACACACATTCACACATACTCACGCACACACAGGCCTCCTCTGGCGAAGATGATCAGTCTTTTCCGAGGAGGTGCGGACGCTCCGTTGCCATGGATCAGGAAGCATGCATGCTCTTGGGGTCCCCTGCATTTATAGATAAAAATCCATTTTTCTTCTTTTTAATAATCAGGTTGTTCTGTTCTTTTTAAGTCCTTTCAAGTCCTTGTTCTTCCCAAAGTTCAGGACATTCACATTCCAGGCCTCATGACTTATGGGGTACCTCCTGCACACTCCTTACTTGCTTGACCGCACACCTTATTGTTCATTGTCACTGTTATGCCTTGCTGCCTCCTCGCTTCGACTGCCAATGCCCTCCCATATCATGCCTTGCGAGAACTCCATGTTAGTTTTCTTCAGGCCTGTTTCTTCTGTTCCTCTGCATGCATTCAAACATTCATTCTTTACACTCTATGTCTTCAACCGACTGAATGGCGTGCATTTAAAAAAAAGTTATGCTGCCTCATCCTTTAGAACCTGTAACTTGGAGTTATTTAAAAAGTAGGTTGCAAGGTCTTTGGGGAAATGGTTTTTGGACTGCACTTCCCATAATCCCTGTCCTCTAGGCCATTCCTCGGTGTGCATCTCCACTTTCTCAGTAGCAATATGACAAATGATTTGCCCTTTGGAGAAATTATATGTAGACACAGGTTGCCCAACAAGATCCAAAGCAACTTTTGTTCAGGAACCTTTGGAGAACCTCTTTTTTCCATCTATGTAATTAGCACGTTTGACTTGTCATGGATTTCGTTATGCACAGATTTGGCTACAATGTTTCCCCATGGAATCTTTTGATCCCCCAGTGCAACTCTACATCATCTTACATTAGAACAGCGTTTCTCAACCTGGGGGCTGTGACCCCTGGGGGGTGGGGTCATGAAAGGGTGTCAGAGGGGTTGCCAAAGATCATCAGAAAACTGTTTTCTGTTGGTCATGGGAATTTTGTGTGGGAAGTTTGGCCCAATTCTATTGTTGGTGGGATTCAGAATGCTCTGATTGTTGGTGAACTATACATCCCAGCAACTACAACTTCAGAATGATTCTATTTCCCCCCAAATTCCACCAGTGTTCACATTTGGGCATAGTGAGTATTCGTGCCAAGTTTGATCCAGATCCTTCATTGTTTTGAGTCCAAGGTGCTCTCTGGATGTAGGTGAACTATAACTCCAAAACTCAAGGTCAATGCCCACCAAACCCTTCCAGCATTTTCCGTTGGGTCATGGGAGTTCTGTGTGCCAAGTTTGGCTCAGTTCCATCGTTGGTGGAGTTCAGAATCCAACCCCAAATTGGGAAAGAAGTCGTCCAGGAATACCTGGCCGCTCTTAATGAGTTCAAGTCCCCAGGGCCAGATCAACTACACCCAGAGTATTGAAGGAACTAGCGGAAGTCATTTCGGAACCATTGGCAACCATCTTTGAGAGTTCTTGGAGAACGGGAGAAGTTCCAGCAGATTGGAGGAGGGCCAATGTGGCCCCAATCTTCAAGAAGGGAAAAAAGGATGACCCAAACAACTACCGTCCGGTCAGCCTCACGTCGATACCGGGCAAGATTCTGGAAAAGATTGTTAAGGAAGCGGTCTGCAAACACTTAGAAACAAATGCAGTCATTGCTAATAGTCAACATGGATTTATCAAAAACAAGTCATGCCAGACTAATCTGATCTCTTTTTTCGATAGTTACAAGCTGGGTAGATGCGGGGAATGCCGTGGATGTAGCGTACCTGGATTTCAGTAAGGCCTTCGACAAGGTCCCCCATGACCTTCTGGCAAGGAAACTAGTCCAATGTGGGTAGGCAAAACTACGGTGAGGTGGATCTGTAATTGGTTAAGTGGACGAACACAGAGAGTGCTCACTAATGCTTCCTCTTCATCTTGGAAAGAAGTGACAAGTGGAGTGCCGCAGGGTTCCGTCCTGGGCCCGGTCCTGTTCAACAACTTTATTAACGACTTAGATGAAGGGCTAGAAGGCATGATCATCAAGTTTGCAGACGACACCAAATTGGGAGGGATAGCCAATAGTCCAGAGGACAGGAGCAGAATTCAAAACGATCTTGACAGATTAGAGAGATGGGCCAAAACTAACAAAATGAAGTTCAACAGTGACAAATGCAAGATACTCCACTTTGGCAGAAAAAATGAAATGCAAAGATACAGAATGGGGGATGCCTGGCTCGAGAGCAGTACGTGTGAAAAAGATCTTGGAGTCCTCGTGGACAACAGTAAACATGAGCCAACAATGTGATGTGGCGGCAAAAAAAGCCAATGGGATTTTGGCCTGCATCAATAGGAGCATAGTGTCTAGATCTAGGGAAGTAATGCTACCCCTCTATTCTGCTTTGGTTAGACCACACCTGGAATATTGTGTCCAATTCTGGGCACCACAATTCAAGAGAGATATTGACAAGCTGAAATGTGTCCAGAGGAGGGTGACAAATGATCAAGGGTCTGGAGAACAAGCCCTATGAGGAGCGGCTTAGGGAGCTGGGCATGTTTAGCCTGAAGAAGAGAAGGCTGAGAGGAGATATGATAGCCATGTATAAATATGTGAGAGGAAGACACAGGGAGGAGGGAGCAAGCTTGTTTTCTGCTTCCCTGGAGACTAGGACGTGGAACAATGGCTTCAAACTACAAGAGAGGAGATTCCATCTGAACATGAGGAAGAACTTCCTGACTGTGAGAGCCGTTCAGCAGTGGAACTCTCTGCCCCGGAGTGTGGTGGAGGCTCCTTCTTTGGAAGCTTTTAAACAGAGGCTGGATGGCCATCTGTCAGGGGTGATTTGCATGCAATATTCCTGCTTCTTGGCAGGGGGTTGGACTGGATGGCCCATGAGGTCTCTTCCAACTCTTTGATTCTATGATTCTATGCTCTTTATTTGTAGGTTAACTATAAATCCCAGCAACTACAACTCCCAAATTACAAAATCAATCCCCCCAACCTCACTAGTATTTAAATTGGGGCGTATTGGGTATCTGTGCCAAATTTGGTCCAGTGAATGAAAATCCATCCTGAATATCAGATATAATCATAGAATCAGAGTTGGAAGAGACCTTATGGGCCATCCAACCCCCTGCCAAGAAGCAGGAATATTGCAGGAATATTAAATTACAATTCTTAACAGTAGCAAAATTACTGTTATGAAGTAGAAATGAAAATAATTTCTTGGTTGGGAGTCACCACAACATGAGAAACTGTATTATGGGGCTGCGGCATTAAGGAAGGTTGAGAAACATTGCATTAGAACTTCATCAAAGAGTCATGCTGGAGGACTTAGGCCTCATCCACACTGCCATATAATACATCTTGAGCTGGATTATATGGTCAGTGTAGACTCATATAGTGCAAACTGAACTGCTTCTGAATCATATCGATCTACACTGCCATATGATCCAGTTCAATGCAGTTAATCTGCATTCTGAAACCGGATGATATGGCAGTGTAGATGGGGACTTTCCATTGAATGCAGAGGACTGACTAGATCCATTCCTCAAATAAAAACACAGTTAGGCTATATGTGCTACCAAAACATTAGTTTATTTCAATCTTAAAAATTAGCTATTAATTACAAAAAAATAATCAAAGGTTGACATTTGTTGAGGTTAGACCGACGCCTTTAGAAAAAGTTTTATTATGATCATAACCAACACGGCATAAAAAGTATGTTTTTCAGAGTAGAACACCGAATTAAGGAAGATTTTCACAGAGGTGCTGCATGACTAAGAACTTGAGAAATGGTGTCAGCCATAGGAGGAAGTGGGACTGAAACCAGACAGGCCTGACAACATAAATAGGAAATTTTAACAAACGGTAGAATGACAGAAACATTTAAAGAGTTATGTTACACATTACAATTACATTGCAACCCTACTATGTACATATCAAAGGAAGCAAAAGTTACAGAGCTGTATGGGTTCATAATAAGAGTTTGGAGTAGATTTAAAAACAAAAGGTACCTTAAATCCAAATATAAAATGGTTTCTGAGTGCCCTAAGATCTTCTGGGCAGGATGCCCAGATAAGTAATGTTACATGGCTTTGATTTTTGATAACAAGAGTTTATTAGTAGTATTTATTATCGTGTCATGTGTTTGGAAAGGGAAAACTATAAAAAAATAAAACTTGAGAGTCCATTAGTGGGAGAAAGCAGAAAGGTGGCAGTTTTGTTAAAGTGCCTGACAACAGTATCCAGTGTATTGGTAAAGTGTTAGCCAGAGACGTGACAATTTGGTTCAAATAACTGAAGGTATAAGTAAAGCCAGATGGTATTCCGTAGCCCCTTGACAACGAGTATGCCAGAAGGTGTAACAGAAATGCCTCAGAGCAACATTGGCCAAGACTCAAGCTCCAAAAGTTCTTGAGCAGGATTTCCTGCCCAAATGTACCATTTCCAACCATCTCTTTACGTACAGCACTTGGGGGAAAAAGTTATTTTAAGGAATGCTGTGCAAGGGCCAAGGGAAACCTTGCTTCTGTAATGTTTACAGGAAAATAAGCACAAAGTCACATTTGATCATTCAGTTTTTCGGAAAGGAACTAGCTCTGCATCTCATTACATATTTTAAGGCCATTTCTAGGAAATTTTCCTCTTATTATTTCCATAAAACTCAGCCTATTGGAATGTATGTTCGTGAAGAACAACCAAAAAGGTAAACACTAGTGCATTTCATATGCTTTAAATTCTATTTATTCAAGAAAAAAAATGTACACACTATAAAATGAACAAAAGACGGGGCCTGCCTTGACTATGGGATTGAGTCAACTCTAGGACGAAGGGTCCTCTCTCTTCCTTTGGCTCAGAAGCCCTCCTTGATTGGGGTGCAGCCGGAGAACCACCGGCTGGTGTTGCTCAGAGCCCGCGTCCGCCTCTTCTTCACCAACGGCACTGGGTTCCCACCAGCATTTAAGTCACTTGGGTAGCGGAAGACGGAGCTGTCATTCGCCTCGGGCTCTATGGGTTCTCCCTCAGGGGCTTTCTCCAAAGCCTGGGTTGCGGAAAGGTAGAGGGATTCGTCAGATACCGTATTTATTTATTTGGAACATTTATATCCTGTCCTTCTCACCTCCGAAGAGGGACTCGGGATGGCTACCAACAGGCACTATTCAATGCCGACACCATATAAAACATAACATACAATTAGCAAAATGAAAACAGTTATAAAAATACATTAAAAACAGTTCACCAGATCAAATCATCATCCTTATTAGTCCATCGCAGTGCACTAAAACATTATCTTCCCCAGCAAATCAGTCTATTCTGCAAACACTTGATGATCCCACAGCCAGGATTTGAGTTTCTTCTAGGAGGGAGGGGGCAGATCTGATCTCATTAGGGAGGGAGTTCCACAGCCAAGGGGCCACCACGGAGAAGGCCCTGTCTCTCGTCCCCACCAAACGCAATGGCGGTGGGTTAAAGAGCAAGGACTCCCTGGAAGATCTTAAAGTTCTTGATGGTTCATAAAGGGAGATACATTCGTACAGGTAAACTGGGCTGGAACCATTTAGGAATTTATAGGCTAAAGCCAGCACTTTGAATTGTATTCAGAAACTAGCATTTCACCACATACTATATTTACTAGTCTTGTGCATTTCTTTAGAATCACTATCCGTTTCTGTTTCTTTCATTCGTAAGCCCTGCTTTCATTTTCAAGTGCCTCTCCTGAAAACGGGCACCTTTCCGAGTGAGCTTTTTTCATCCCAGGTTAAAAAAAACAAAACAAGTATTTTTGTCCCATTGGCGGCAATGGGTGGGTTTCCCACGCTCCACTTCCCCTCAGTTTTAGGCCCTGATAGGCGTGGGTGCTTTCTGGGCCTGCATGCCACACCTCTTTCTCGGTCCTCGACTGCAGGCTCTGGTGCTTTGAATCTGCAAGCCACACACACACTCTCCTTTGAAAGAGTATGTGTGTGTGGCTTGCAAGCCCAAAGTGCCCACACCTGCCAGGGCCTGCAGCTGAGCGCCAAAAATCAGGCAACCAAATGGTTACCGTTCCCACTTTCCTTTCGTTTCACTAATATTTCTGTACCAGAGGAGGGTATACTGTTTCGTGCCATCTGGATGAAACAAACTGTACAAAAACACAAATTAAACAGCCGAAACAGTTACTAGGCCCATGACTAGTATTTACTCAAGTCTAAGGCACCATTGAAACGAATGTGCAACTCAATTTTCAAAATCTTGAAACCAAAAATAAATAAATAATTGCTGCTGAATGTAATGCGCATTAATTGGGCATTATTTACACTTTATTTACACTTGCTATGTGTTTAGAATTCCTTCTTTCAAAAGAAAAGTATTAGAACACTAAAGCTTCCCAAGCAACGAAAAAGAAGACCTTGGGATGCATCTATGCTATAGAATGAATTCATTTTAATTGTCCTGGCTGAATGCTGTGGAATCCTGGGGGTTGAAGTTTTACAAGGTCACTTGCATAGAATAAGATGCCTCGCCAAACTACAAATCTCCTAAACATTGAGCCACTCTACTTCTTTGATGGCAAGCCATCATATGCTTGGCCTTACAGCATATTTCGCATTAAGAAATATTTACAAATTTCCTAGAATAAAACTAAGGCTTCTACAGTTTTCAACTCAATGCCACAGGTCTGCTTCACACAAATTACATTTTAGGAATGAACCAATTCTTATTGCTAAAGCATACCCTGGACTATAGCTCCCACAAGTAGTGCCTGAGGGTAATGGAAGGTCGTTCAAAAGAAACTTCAAATGGATAGAAAATTTAATTTGGATGCACTTGTTAATCACAACGACTGGGACCTGAAAGGTTTTGGATTTCAGATTTTGGAATTCTAATGTACCTACGTGATCGCTTCTCTGTATACAAACCCACACAATCCCTGTGATCTTCCGGAGAGGCCCTGTTCTCGATCCCACCAGCATCGCAGGCGTGTTTGGTGGGGACGAGGGAGAGGGCCTTTTCGGTGGTGGCCCCTCAACTCTGGAACTCACTCCCTAAAGACATCAGACAGGCCCCAACCCTAGCAGTCTTCAGGAGAAGCTGGAAGACGTGGTTGTTCCAGTGTGCCTTCCCGGAATAATGAATCCCATAGCACTCTGTCCTCCAAAGCACTTTACATTTCTCTGAGTCTGCTTGTATGCCCTCCACAAACACTAGTATCACCTTTCGTTCATGGCCCAGCATTATTTCCAATTTTAACTCTACATTTGGCCTTCCCAGTGTTTTAATTATGTGTTGCTTTTTTGATAATGTTGTGTATTTTATTGTCTATGTTTTTAAATTGCTTGTATTGATGTTTTATTGCTTTTGTTGTTGTGTTTGGGCTCGGCCTCATGTAAGCCGCACCGAGTCCCTTGGGGAGATAGTAGCGGGGTACAAATAAAGTTAATAAATAAATAATAAATACATATGTACAGAATGAGGTATCTTGAAGACGGAACTGAAATTAATGTATGTTTAATGTGTACCTTATACATACAACCGGAAGATTATTTTAAACAATAGTTTTAATAATGTTGCGTTTAAAAGTTTCTGTACCTTGAACTATCAGAAAATAAAGTTGTCACTGTCTCAGCTATCAATGGAGATGATTTTGGAGTATTTCCGTTTTTGGATAAGGGATACTCAACCTGTATATTTCTCCCCAAATTCCCCCACCAAAACCAAAAAGAAACCACCAGACATGTCTTCCTGCTGCATGACTTCAACATGATCGGAATCCTTCCACTTCTCTCCCCAATAAGACCTCAATGACACCTCAAAGAATAATCAGAATCTTCTTGTTGATGTCATTCATGGCTCTGGGATCTGCCTACCTTCGTGATGGGAGTGATTGCTGGGGGTGCAAAGAAAGTGTCCCCTGCTGCCACCAGCGTGGGGTCTTCCACATTGAAGTCCAGGTCCTTGGTGTCTCCCATTGGCCCCTCCATAAGTGTCCCTTCCTGAAAAGGAAAAGAGAAAGACGTATGGGAACCTGGAGCGTGCTCTTTCCACTCATTACCTCTTCAAATGAAGAAATCTATCCTTTTTCTTTGGAAAAAAGCCCATGCAGAAATGTAAAGCATCAGTAACAACAGTTTAGCACAGGGGTCCTCAAACTAAGGCCTGGGGCCCGAATGCGGCCCTGCATTTACTCGGCCCTCGCTTAAGGTCAACCTAAGTCTGTAACGACTTGAAAGCACACAACAACAACAAAAACAATCCTCTCTCATCAGGCAAAAGCAGGCCCACATGTCCCATTGAAATACTAATAAATTTATATTTTTAAAATTGTTCTTCATTTTATTTATTGTAGTGTTTTTAAGTATTTTTGCACTACAAATAAGATATGTGCAGTGTGCATAGGAGTTCATTCATTTTTTTTTTCCAAATTATAATCCAACACTTTGAGGGACTGTGACCTGGCCCTCTGTTTAAAAAGTTTGAGGACCCCTGGTTTAGAAGATCAGAAGCTTGTAGTGTCAGTAGTAAAGCAATTGAATTTAAGCAATTCAGGAGCACAGTCAAGCTTAAAAGGTTATGAAAGGGTTGTTGTGAGTTTTCCGGGTTTTATGGTCATGTTTCCAGAAGCATTCTCTCTTGAACTCACAACCTCTGAGGATGCCTGCCATAGATGCAGGCAAAACGTCAGGAGAGAACGCTCCTGAAACATGGCCACACCATTTGGAAAACTCATAACAACCCAGGATTCCAGCCATGTAAGCCTTTGACAATACATAGATATGAAAGGCTTTATTTAAAGAACAACATATCCAGATAAGAAAGTTAGCAGGGCATAGCTAGGTAACGAACAGCAGACATCTTGTCTCTCCATGCTCACAGAAGAACCAAATGGAGGACTCGGGGCTTACCACATGCTCAGAAAAAGAACTATCCATCTAACCAGCAAGGTGATAACAGGAGAGAATAGAGTTACAGGCAGGCAGGCAAATGGGGGAAGGGCTTTTCCCTGCCAACCAACTCAACTGCCCATCTAAGTTCTTGATGAGGACTGCAAGCTTGTGCAGGATGTGGTTGAGTTCCAAGTCTCTGACTGGCTGCCTCCTTGGCACTCAGATATCTGTGGTTTCCATGGCTGAGCAAGGATTAAAAGCAAGCACTCAAATCATTATACCATGCTGGCTCTAACCCTTTCTTTGCCACATTTAATGATAATTCTTATAAGGACTGAGAAATGTCTGCCCATTGGCTGAGGCTAAATTTGCAACATTCTAAACAAGGCAGAAACCTCATCCTGAGCTGCAGAGCTTCCAGGTAGAGCACCTTGTTGGAAGTTTTTTTTTTTAATCGTGTCAGAAGTGACTTGAAAATATACTACAAGTTGCTTCTGGCATGAGAGAATTGGCTGTCTGTAAGGACGTTGCCCAGGGGACGCCTGGATGTGTTACCATCCTGTGGGAGGCTTTTCTCATGTCCCCACATGGGAAACTGAGGCTGACAGACAGGAGCTCACCCCATCTCGCGGATTCGAACCACCAACCTTCAGGTCAGCAGTTCAGCTGGCATAAGGGTTTAACCCATTGTGCCACTGTGGTTCCTTGTTGGAAGTGAAGAAACATCAATACTTATCTAGAGAATAATTAGGGACAGAGGGAACCCTGTGGTGCAGGCCTGCTCTCTATGAAGAGGTCTGTATGGTCTCTTCCCTCTTCTTTTCAAAAGCCTTTAGTGTGCTTTATGACCCATTTGTTTGAGAAGGGAACCTCATGAGGTGTCTCTCTTACAAATATGAGGGTATTAGAGACTCCTAGCAAAGTTAGCGAACTGTCTTGCCCCTGTTTACTCTTTTTTATATAAGATGTACTACCTGCAATAATAAAAGTAAATTTTTACTCTCCTTTTGAAACTTATAAGAGCATCCCATCCTATTTTCTCTATTGTTTCCTTCAATAAAATCACATACACTGTTTCCCTGAAAATAAGACATCCCCTGAAAATAAGACCTAGTAGGGATTTTGCTGGATTGCTAAATATAAGGCCTCCCCCGAAAGTAAGACCTAGCAAAGTTTTGTGATGAGTTCCCCCTGTGGTCGGAAGCCACAATACAGCCCGTGCTGTACAAGTGGTCCAGGAACCCCCGTGGCAAATTGTTATTACAGTCTCCAGACAGTGTGTGGGAGCCAGGTACTTTACAGCCCTTATTTTTTGTGGCCCTGTGTGTGAGTCAGGCAACCAGTTCAATAAATATTCTTTTTTTGTTCAACAGTAAATGTGAATTCTTCTTTGGAAAAATAAGACCTAGCATCTTTGGGATCAAAAATTAATATAAGACACTGTCTTATTTTCAGGAAAATAGGGTAGAGGACTGGCTATGCTGCACTCTAGTCCATTTCTTCTTAAAAGTCTGGGTCCTGACCTCCAATGGGCCCCCTTTCACTCAATGCAGAAATCCTGAAATATTTTTCTGAACACCACCTTGGGACTGTTTTAGATATTTACATGATTTTGTTGTGCAGTGTTTAGAGTGAGCTCTGCAGAAGATGCTTAAGTTGGATTTCATGAAAAGGAAACCCAGCCTCTTTAGCAAACCTCGCAAATGTTGATAAGATATCTCCTGAAAAGAAGCCCTGACACGGCTTTTGGGGCAAAAATAAGACTCAGTTTTATTTTTTGGGAAATAGTCTATATCTGGGGTCACATAAAAATGTCTCAGGCTGAAAGAGGTCCAGAGTAGAAAAGTTTAAGTCTGCGATAGATCTCAAATATTCCTGCAAGCAGGACAGGTGAAGCAATCAGGAAATATGTGGAGGAAAATTGGGAGGGTAGGTTGGAGAAGAAAGATAAAGAACTACGGGAACAACCTATTAAGAAGACAGAAGTAGAGGAAGTTATTAATAATTTAAAAGTTGGGAAAGCTCCAGGCTTGGATGGAATAGGAACAGAATATTATAAAAGCTTTAGAGAACTTTTGACGCCAAAATTATTAGAATTGTATAATGGAATAATGAAGGGAGATAAAATGCCACAATCATGGAGGAAGTCATTAATAATATTAATACCAAAATAATATTAATACCAAACAGACCAAAAGGGTAGGCTACAATAGTGGGCCACTCACCAAGACACAGCTGTCTCGGTTCCGGCATTCCTCGGCCTCACAGCGACAGTCCTCAGAGCAGGTCACTTTTTGCTTCCGGCAGCCACACTTCTTGTTTCTGCAACGGCCTTTGCAGTTGCACTAAGAGAGGAGAGTGGCATTAGAGGCCTTTCCTCCACTTACACAACAGAACACGCATCCTCTCCTTCCCTGGCCTGAACACTCAACAGATCAGTTATGAAGTGGTCTCTTGGCACCTTCCAGCTGCCACTGGACATCCGGGGGGAAAGAAGCAGCCTTTGCACTTCTGGACCACAGTATAAATAAATACACAGTGGACTATTGTCTACGTTTCCCATCTCAATCAGCAAAAGAATTGATTGTGCCACAGAATGATGCAAATCCAGCTAACTGGCACAGAATGCTGCGCGACACACAAACCCAACAGATGGGCAATGAAATAAAAGCAACGATGCTGGCATCTAAATAAGGAATAGTGTTTCTAAAGCGACACATTCCATAGGAAAGGTCCCCTAGTCTGAGTTTTAGGCAAACTGCAGAACCTCCTTGCTCATTCCACCAGGAAATGAACCCAAGTCCCTTCTTCAGTCTCTGCAAAAGTTTAGTTACTGTGCCATCTAATCCAGATAATTTGGAATTTTACAACAAGAAAGGGGAGAGGACTAACTAGTGGAAGTGGTTTTGACAAAGGTGCGTGAGTAGCATTCAAGGCACAGACATGTTTGCAAAATTGAACACAGGGCATTCAGGAGGGCTTTAAAGATAACAGAGGGTTAGGGAAACTTTCAGAAGACACCAGCTAATTGGAATCCCTGGGCCTTGATGGTCTACCTTTGAGAAGGATTCTTTTTTTCCAGCTGCAGCTCCCAGAATCCCCAGCTATTATTTTATTTATTTATTTACTTCGCTTATATACCGCAATTCTCAGCCCAGGGGCGACTCACTGAGGTGTAGCAAAGGGGAATCTGGGAATGGCTTCTGACCTAATTTCAGGGGTGGGGCAAAGCTTACAAAATGCCATCAGAGTCATACCCCCAAAATGGTCTTCTTGGCAAGTTTGGCTGGGACCCACTCAGCATCTTCAGTGTCTCCTCCCAAATCCTCCGAATCGGATGACGATTCTTTCTCAGGCATCCCGAATGCAGACTTTGCGGTAGTTTGTCTGCGGGTCTTGGGCTGATCCAACCAAAACACATGAAAAAAATAAATCTTTATGCAAACTACATAACGCTTTAAAAGTCCAAGAAACTTAGCAAGATGATTGTGTTTCAAGACTATTGGCTTGGTCTGGGAAATGGGGATGTTTAAGGAGAGAAGTAAGAATCAAGCTGAATTCTCAAAAAGTGCAAAACATTCCTAAATAGGTCCAGTAATTTGTGATCAGAGATGGGCGCATTTTAAAATAGGGATGGGGATGTGTAGTCCTCCAGTTGTAGTACTGCAAGTCCCGTCAACCCTTAGTGGCGTAATTATTGCTACAGTCATTTATCCATATCTTGTCCTTTGTATGCCCTATGAGAAGCTTAAAGAGCTGGGTGTGTTTAGCTTGCAGAAGGGAAAGTTGAAAAGGGACATGATAGCCATGTTTAAACATTTCAAAAAGCTGTCATAAGGCAGAGGGAGCAGGCCTTGTTTTCCGCTGCCCTGGAGACTACGATGCAGAGCAATGGGTTGAAATTACAGGAAAGGAAATTCTACATTCACGAAGTCCGAAGTCCAAGGGAAGGAGAAACTTGCCGTAGTCAAAAAAACAAGCAGATGTCGAAACAGGAGTTCCAATATTTAAGCTAGCAAACTGACATAAGACTAGAGAGGTTCCTAAACTGCTGAGCGCGGAAAAAGGAACTAAGGTGCAGTCCCCGCCTGGGGCATTTATAGTATTGGGGAGAGTGGGCGGGGCCTCCGCCAAAATGTTTATAGGAGTCTCACAGACTCCTCAAAGAGGAAATTGGGAAGAATTTCCTGATTGTAAAAGCTGTTGAACAGTGGAACTCTCTGCCTCAGAGTGTAGTGGAGGCTCCTTCTTTGGGGGCTTTTAAACAGAGGCTGGATGGCCATCTGTTGGGGGTGCTTTGATTATGCCTTTCCTTCATGGCAGAAGGGGGTTGGACTGGATGGCCTATGTGGCCTCTTCCAACTCTATGGTGCTTTCTCCAATATTGGGACCAAGTAACACACACAAAAGCCAGTGCAGTTTAATGGTTGGGGTTCAGGACTAGGATTCTGGAGATCAGAGTTTGAATCCACGCTCAGCCATGAAAGCACAGCAGGTGACTTTGGGCAAGAAGTCACACTCTCACAGCCTCAGAGGAAGGCAAAGGCAAACCTCCTCTGAACAAACCTGGCCAAGGAAACCCTGGGTCAGTTCTTCCTCCTATAAGTCAGAAACGCCTTGAAGGTACACAACAGCAAATACACATACATATGTAACATACATTCTCATATACATATACGTATATGTATATACGTGTGTGTGTGTGTGTGTATGAACAAGTTAAATGACACACTGAATTAGCAAAGAGGGTCAGCCTCACTATGTGCTTCAGTCCACACTTTACACACACCTTGGGTGGGATGTAGTCGAAGGGGGAGTCCGGTTCTTCTGTTCGCGAGGGATGCATGTTCCTGATCTTCTGGCCACTGGCCACTTGAAGCAGCAGCAGTTTCTGTTGGGAAGGCAGATGCGGGAATGAGCCTCGGCGGCCAGGAAGGACCAACGCTGCTTCCCTTGTCCAGCAGAGCACCACCCTCTGACTATACCTGTTTGGCAGTTTCAAGCTCTTCAGAAAGTGCTTGGTTCTTCTCAAAGACTTCTTTCATCTTTGACAGTTCTTCATCCTATACACAAAAGTGGGGTCTAACATTGATCAATGCCCCCTTTTTAGAAGAAAATGCCCAACAATGTCAGATTACACATCACTATGAAAGACTGTGTTGGAAACAGCAACTTTCCAAGCCTTCACTATTTGCGAATAATGTATATATTTGCTCATCTGTATTGTATGTATATATTGATTGGCCAGTTTGACTGACCTCTTTGGTGTGGGAGGGGCTACAGACATGTGATTGTACTGAGCATGTTCAGACTCAAGACTCCATTTTGTCATCAATATGTTTTTGGACTTCAATGTTAGCAGTTCACTTTAGACCTCAGTGGAGGTGGATGCAGTATGCTTCTGAACTTCAATTGAAGTTCAATTGACAAGCTGGAATGTGTCCAGAGAAAGGCAACAGAGAAGAACAATATTGATTATATGGATCTTTTAAGTCATTCTATTTTTAACAGATGTTGTTTTATCCAATTTTTATACCTGGTTTATGTAACGTATTATTGTTTTCATACTGATGTGTTTTATTTTATGAATTGTGCATTTTATGTATGGCATCTTTGTGTGCTATTTTGTAAGCTGCCCTGAGTCTCTATGGGAGATGGTGGAGGGGTATAAATAAAGATTATTATTATTATTATTATTATTATTATGGGTAGTGTAGATTATTATTATTATTATTATTATTATTATTATTATTATTATTATTATTATTTCATTGTTGATTTTGCAGTCCCCCGGTTGTTACTTACTGGGCAGAATTTGGGACTTTTCTTCTTCTTCTATTATTATTATTATTATTATTATTAGAAACACAAGGTGAGTCCACAGCAGACACACTGCTTGCTGTTGAATTGGCTCACACGTCAGACACTTCCCAAGTGTCTAGGACTGTGTGATGTATCACCGAATAATGCATGCAGATCCCAGTAAGGTGGCCTTTTGCAGCTGGCAGATGGTCATTTTATCAGTGCCGATAGTGTTTAAGTGCAGGCCAAGGTCTTTAGGCACTGCGCCCAGTGTGCCGATCACCATTTGGACCACCTTTACTGGTTTGTGCCAGAGTCTTTGCAGTTCAATCTTTAAATCCTCATATCGTATCATCTTTTCCAGTTGTTTCTATGCAGTCCTGCTGTTACCTGGGATTGCGACATTGACGATCCATACTTTGTTTTTAACACAATTGTGAGGTCAGGAGTATTATGCTCCAAAACTGTCTGTCTGAATACGGAAGTCCCAGAGGAGTTTAGCGTGTTCATTCTCTGTAACTTTTTCTGGCTTGTGATCCCACCAGTTCTATTATTATTATTATTATTATTATTATTATTATTATTATTATTATTATTATTCAGTTATTATAATTACTACTACTACTACTACTACTACTACTACTACTACTACGACAGCTTCCCACCATGTAGAACTAGGAATAATGTATTTTTTATTCTGCTAATTCTGGTTCCCTCTCCCCACTTGTTCTGGAGAGGATCTTTCTGTTTGTTTTGGATGCCCTTAAAAAACTAACAAACGGCACAATGTTCCATGCAATTCTGATGTTCTTTACTATTAATTCAGGACTATGCAATTCCCATCATAACAAAAAAATTAAAATGCTATACAGTACAGTCAATTCAATTGGCACAACAAACCTCCACTCCTCAGCATGTGCCCTCCTCAGGTCTAAATGGCAAATAGGGCCACTTCCCACTGGAATATGGCCCCATCGTAGGGAGGGCAAGAGGTGCCATTCTTTGGACACTGAGCTTTTACCTGGAATTGAAGCCGTTCGAGGAGCTGCTGCTCCGGTTCTGAAATGGAAATCTCTAACCGCTTCTCTGTTTCTTCTTTATGGTTGATTTGGCTGAGCAGGTACAGCACCTGGAGAATGGACAGGCAAGTGGTGATGGTGGGGGGGGGGGGGGGGGGGGGGGGGGGGGGGGGAGAGAGAAAACAGGGCAGAGTTAGCAAACTTTGAATATAGGAAGTTCTATTTGTCAGCAACACTGTAGACTTTTCACCCACAACACTGCATTTCTTTTCAACCTGGCTGGCTTCTTTTTAGCAACATCAAAAAAGGGAAGGAGAAGGAAGCTATGAAAAGGAGTTTCACTGTCAGAGGCTTTGATAAATACTGAACCATGCCATATATTTTTCTACCCCTAAAGCAAACAAATTAATGTGAGAAGTGCCCCTTCCTCCCTCCAGCTGAATTTCCATCAGTAAAGTCCGTTCCAAAAAGGAGAAGTCTTACAAACACTTCTAGAAGCTACTGTATGCTTCAATAGTTTAATTTATGGGGTTAGATGTTCTGCTTGTCAGAAATATTAAAAATTAACTAGGTATTTGTAATTACAAAAATGTGAGTCAAGCACTGAAAGGGTTAAATGGATGCAACGACTCAGCAAAAACTGCTGTTCAATATAAGGTGTGCCTGTAGCTTAGGTCTCAGTCTGAGAGAGTCCTCAGTGTGAGGTAGGCCTCAGTCTTAGTAAGCCTCTGTGTAAAGGAGGCCTCAGTGTGTTAGTAGGGCTCAATATGAGAAGGCCTCTGTGTTAGTAGCCCTCAGTATGAGGAAGACCTGGTGTGAGAAGATTTGGTGAGAGGAAGCCCCAGTTTGAAGGCCCTGTGTGTAAACCTCGCGTATAAAGCTTCAGTGTGTGAAGGCTGCTGTGTGTTATAAGGAGTGTGAAGCTCCCGCGTGTTCAGTGTGAGAAAAGGCAAAGCTATTTATTTGGATGAGAAAGAAACCCAAAGGACTTTATGTTATGGAAACCTTGTTCTTGTAAATAGTGCAACCATATTATTTTACTACAAAGAAAAGCCTCATATAGAAGAGATAAATGAGAGGTTGCTTACCTGTAACCGTAGTTTCCCTAGTGTTGTGCTGTGAATTCGCACTAATGGTACTCTCTCTGCGCATGCGCAGTCTCATCCGGAATCTTCAGTTGATATTTAAAAGAAAAAAGCGGTTGGCCCCGCGCACACTCCCCAAGATAGCATAAATAGCCCGCGGCAGGCCAACCGCCTCCAGATCTCTTCCGCCGCCAAAGCAGCCAGAAGGAGGAGGCATGACAAACTGCGGGGAGGATGGGCGGGGCCGTGCGAATTCACAGCACAACACTAGGGAAACTACGGTTACAGGTAAGCAACCTCTCATTTTCCCTACGTGTCTGTGCTGTGAATTAGCACTAATGGTATAAGACTAGCGAGCTACCCACCTTGGATGGCGGGAGTCATGCCACCGCAGAAAAAAGCACTGCTCGACCGAACGCCGCATCCTTCTTCGCCATCAAATCAAGCTTATAATGTGAAACAAAAGTCAGCGGCGTCGACCATGTGGCAGCTCGACAAATGGCGTCCAAGGGCACACCCTTCCAAAACGCTGCCGTAGTAGATACTGCTCTTGTGGAATGTCCTTTCACGGCAGATGGAATCTCACGTCCAGATTTCTGGTACGCCAACTTGATTGCAGAAACTATCCATGAGGATAGACGCTGCGATGACACAGGAGAACCGCAAGAGTCTTTCCTATACTTCACAAATAACTTAGGAGTTTTTCTTATTTCTTTAGTTCTATTAAGGTAGAACGCCAACGCCCTGCGGACATCAAGCAAATGGAGACTACGCTCCAAAGGGGAGCCTGGGTTCTGGAAAAAGGATGGCAAAATGATATCTTGCGACATATGAAAATGAGATGTCACCTTGGGAAGAAAGGCAATGTCTGTACGAAGCACTACTTTATCCCTATGGAACCGGAGGTATGGTTCATCTGATCTAAGTGCGCAAAGTTCGCTAACGCGCCGAGCCGATGTTATTGCCACAAGAAAGGAAGTCTTCCAAGAAAGATGAGAAATATCGCACGTGGCCATAGGCTCGTAAGGCGCACTTTGAAGAGATGAAAGCACGATCTCCAAACTCCATGATGGAATAACAGGGGCAACTGCTGGTTTAACATTCCCGTAACCCCTGAGGAAGAGTTTAACTAAATATTCCCCAAAAAGGGAGGGCAAACCGACTTTCCTTCTGTACCATGAAATGGCAGCGAGGTAACACTTTAAGGACGAGATAGACAAACCTAAATTTGATAATGAAACTAAAAAGTCTAACACTGCCGAAATTGGCGCTCTAACAGGGTCACAGCCCCTACTTAACATGAACTTTGAGAAACGAGCCCACTTATAAACATAAGAACGTTTAGTAGACGGCTTTTGCGCCGCATCCAAAATAGCCCTAACTGGACTAGACAAACCTAAGGAAGGGTCTAATGATTCGGGACAATTCTCCACGCAGTGAGCCTCAACACATGAACGTCCGGGTAGCAAACCCTTCCGTCCTGTAAAGTCAGAAGGTCTGACCTGCTCGACAGGCGCCTGTACCTCCCGTTGGACATCCCGAGAAGAACCGAGAACCATGGCTGACGAGGCCACCATGGTGACACTAGGATACAGTTCCCTCCGTCCCTCCTTAACTTCGAAAGGACCTTCGCCAATAGGGGAAACGGAGGAAACGCGTAGAGGAAATCCCCTGACCACTTGAGAAGGAACGCATCCCCCAGACATCCCTGCGCTAGATTGGGCCTTCTGCGTGCACAGAAAAGGGGACATTTCGCGTTCTCTCTCGATGCGAATAGGTCTATTTTCGGAACCCCCCAGATCCCGAAGATCATATTGAGTTCCCTTTGATTGAGAGACCACTCGTGGCTCGACATGGGCGTCCTGCTCAGCGTATCCGCCAAAACATTCTCCTCCCCTGGGAGGTGAATGGCCATCAGATATATCTTTCTCACTATGCACCAGTCCCAAATACGCATTGTCAACTTCGACAGAGTCTGGGACCGTGTTCCCCCTTGCTTGTTTATATAGAACATTGTCGTTGTATTGTCTGTTATCACTTGCACTACCTCGCCCAACAACTCCATCTCGAAGGATTTTAGTGCCTTTTCCACTGCGAGCAGTTCCAGTACGTTTATATGGAACTTGGCCTCTTCCGGAGTCCAAAGACCTCGGGCAGTAAGTCCATTGAAATGCGCTCCCCACCCTCTTAAGGAGGAATCCGTCGTGACAACACTCGACGGTTCGGGAAGCTGAAAAGGCAGGCCTACAGTAACATTGGCAGGTTCTTTCCACCACAATAGGGAAGTCCGCACTTCCTCTGGCACACGGAACCGCACATGGGGGTCGTCTAGGCCAGGACGGAACACAGACAGGAACCAATTTTGGATGGGTCTGAATCGCAAGCGAGCATACGGCGTGACCGCTGTTGTAGAGGCCATATGCCCCAGTAGTACTTGAATTGTCTTTGCTGACACTTCCCCTGAACACAGAATTTGCACAACCAGAGACTTGAGCGACGCGAAACGGTCCTCTGGTAGAAACGCCTTCTGGTAAGTTGAGTCCAAGACGGCTCCAATAAACTGAATTCTGCGGGCAGGTAATAGGTGGGACTTCTCTCTGTTCACCACGAGACCTATGGACTGGAGAAGAGAGAGAACTGTGTCAACATGCACACGCAGGCGGTCACATGAACTCGCTACCAACAGCCAGTCATCTATATACGGATAAACCGTAATGCCCCTAGTCCTGAGATGCGCAGCGACCACCGCCATGCATTTTGTAAAAACTCTCGGGGCTGTGGTAAGGCCAAATGGCAAGACGTTAAAATTAAAGGCCCTGTCTCCAACCATGAAAGCAAGATATTTTCTGTGATGCTCAGCTATGGATATGTGAAAATATGCGTCCTTTAAATCAATTGATGCGTACCAATCATCTTTATTCAAAAAAGGAAGGATCATAGGGAGAGAAATCATACGAAACTTTCTCGAATCAATATACATGTTCACTCCCCGTAAATCTAATATTGGACGCAAACCTCCACCTTTTTTGGTCACTAAGAAATAACGAGAAAAGTAACACCTATTGAACATTGAAGAGTGAACGCGCGAAATCGCGCCCTTACTCAATAACTTCTCAATCTCTTCCAGCAAAGCTGGGGATTCGGGAGTAACTCTTAACTGTCCCAACGGGGGCCGAGACTTGAATTCTATGGAATAACCATACTGAACAATTTGGAGGACCCAACTATCGGTTGTTATCGCGGCCCAAGACCGCGCAAACGGTCTAAGCCTATCTTTAAACAAAAAACACCCAACTGGTTCAGAAGGTATAGACTGATAAGAACCGAACAGTAGTGGAACAGAAACAGATGGTTCGTCAAAGACGACGTCTGGGATTCCCTGCAGCCTTAGCCTTGTTCTGGCTATACGGCTGGTACCTAGGCTTAGCACCAAAACTCTGCCTACGGTTATATTGGAATTTTGATGAGGCATTTCGATTGTTCTGAGTCGTATTATATCCACTGTAATTGGACTTACGATAGAAAGGGGCTGACTGCTGCCAACGAGGCTTCTGCTGGCCACCAAGCTGCCAAGAGTAAGAGTATGGATAGGGATACTTAGCTGCCTGCATAACCTCCCGTGAATGTTTAATTTTCTCATCCGTTGCTGGGTCAAAAAGACCTTCCTCATGCAGTGGAAGGTCTTCTGCCAACAACCTACTCTCCTCTGATAGTGAAGATGCACGCAACCACGCATGACGACGTATGGCTGTGGCCGTGGCGAGGAGCTTCCCAGATGTCTCGGCCATATGTTTAGCAAAGGTTTTTTGAAATTTGGAAAGAACAAGAGCCTCAGCCTGAAAAGCCTTAGGAAGACGGCGGTCTTCAGTAGGCAGAAGATGGATAAAAGGTAGCATCTTATTCCAGAGAAAACTCTGGTATCCACTCATGTAGGTGGCATAATGAGCCATCCTAACGAATAACCCCGCAGCTACATGCACTTTCTTCCCAAGGGAATCTATCTTTTTTCCTTCTTTGTCTGGTGGCGACACAGAATATTTCTTAGGTCTCCTAGACCTAGCTGCCTCCGCCACCACCGTATTAGGAGCAGTGGGGCGGGCAATCCAATTTGCTGTTGAAAGATCTACTTTGTAGAAAAGGTCAACCCGCTTAGGAATAGCTGGGGCAAGCGACGGGGAAATATCAGGGACCTTTGTCAACTTTAGCAAATATGGCAGTGTTGGGAGTAGTGTAGAAGGGGAAGTGTCCTGTTCCTCAGGCGTAAACATGGTCATCCACTGCAGAAACAGGTTTGGGAGCAGGGATGCTCAATGCGGTTATCATCCTCCCAACCATCTGCACAAATTTATTAAAATCATCCATACGATCCACATTAACCTCCTTATCATTGTCCACAATAGGAGCCTCCATCATCTCTACAGAGACATCTGAGTCAATATTGTCAGCCTGAAGATGATCCTCACAGACAGAAGGCAATGGTGTACCCCTTTGGGAATAATAATATCCCTGGCGTTCATTTCTCATGCCCACAGGGACTGATTCATGCCCTGTCAAATGACTCTCAATCCATAGTCCACATTACAACGCCTAGGAAGACGTAGATTCTCTTGATCAGGAGAAATGGGTGGTGGACCACAATAAATGAATCTCCCTTGAGGTGTCATCTCATAAAATCCTGGGTGAGGAAGGGGAAGTTCTCCATCATTCTGACGTGGAGGTCTTGTAGAGGAAGCCTTCTTCACTTTCTTTGCACGTGCCTGCCTGCGCATCCTAGCAGAGCACGATGAATCAGAACAAGAACTGGTCGATGAGGAGGAGGAGGAGGAGGAGGAGGA